TGGAAATATATACTAACTTTATTCTTGGTTATCAATGCCTATTCATTCTTACGTTATATAATATTCTATATGACAGAGTATGCTGGGTTTAGTCCTCTATGGCCTGATGGAGTATGAGCTTTCGTTGAACTTCCTAAAAGCAGCCTTGACTTTAACCTCTAAATACTACGGTGCAACATCCCTGAACCACGCACACAGGTATTTATGCCCTATCTGTCAGTTTTCTTTCGGATCATCGTCAATAATGTCTTCCGTCACATTCTTTTGCAGTCATCATGTTCTTGCTCTTGTCTATGAGAGCAAAGGGGAGTTCAGGTTGGCTCTGCAACATGAACAAGAGGCTTATTTAATATTTAAAAAACAGGTGAGCGTTTAAAAATACGTTTCTTTTTTTTTGCTGCTATGATTGTAGTCCTGAGTTTCTGTCAGCATTAATCTCTAATACACAGGTTGGTGAAGACAGTGAGAGAACTAAGGAAAGCTCAGAATACCTGAAGAGGCTCACTCAGCAGGCCGTAATCCTTCAGAAAGCCATCAATCATATCACTTCTGGAAAACAGAGTGCCTGTGTCCCACCTCCAAGGGTGTGTACATGTCTACAAATATGCAGAGAAGGAAAGCAAGGCTCACTTTGGTAAACCTGTGCTGTTTTACCTGCAGTTTCCAATGCCAAGTCATCCTGTGATCCTGCAGCAGCTCAACCTGATATGTGGAATTACATTTATGCCTCTCAGGTGAAAACACTAAGTCCATCTCATTGGATCTAGAAGTAAAAACTGTATGTTTTAAGTTATATTTCTGTTAGCCTTTTCAAAATTATCTTTAGATGGTATTTTAATCTTCAATCTGTCTGTATTTTCCTTCTTTCTAGTGAAAAAGAGCTCAAGGATCTAAGAGCAGAAATGAACAGAAGAGGAAAAGTTAATATGGAAGATCTAGAAGATCAACTTTTTAACCTTAAAGGCTCGATGACCCCCAACGACAAACAACTGCTCTGAGCCATAGACCAAAAGGGACGCTACCTCGACCCACCTGCATGTTATGAGAAAATCGTGCTATTGAAGGGAGAGAATAGAAAATATTTTACCTATTTTAAAATCACTAACAAAATGTACTTGTAC